AAATTAACTTGAAATGGATTAAAGACTTGGATGTAAGACCTGGAACCATAAAACTCCTAGAAGAACATAGACAGCAGGCTCTTTGACGTCGGTCTTAGTGATGATTTTTTTGGATTTGACACCAAAAGCAAAGGCAACGAAAGCAAAAATAAACAAGTGGGACTAAAAAGCTTCTGCACAGCAAAGGAAACCATCAGCAAAATAAAAAGGCAACCTATGGGAGAAAATATTTGCAAATCATATATCTAATAATGGGTCAATACCCAAAATACAAAAAGAACTCATACAATAGCAATAAAACGAAACAAAACACTTCAACTAGAAAACGGGCAAGGCCTCCGAAGAGACATTTTTCCAAAGAAGATATGCAGATGGCCTGGTACATGAAAAGATGCTCAAATCACTAACCATCAGGGAAATGCAAATCAAACCCACAATGAGGCATCACCTCGCACCTGTTAGAATAGCCATCATCAAAAAAAGACAAGGAATAACAAGTGTTGACAAAGACGGGGATAAAAGGGGACCCTCGTACACTTGGGTGACGATGTAAATTGACGCAGCCACTATGGAAACAGCATGGACGTTCCTAAAAAATTAAACCTAGAACTTCCATACAATCTAGTAATTTCACTTCTAGATATTTTACTGAAGGAAATGAAAACAAATTCAAAAAGATATCTGTATCCCCATGTTCATTACAGCCTTATTTACCATAGCTAAGATATGGATGATTGGATAAAGAAAATGTGATGTACAATATGTGAATATTATTCGACCATAAAAAAGCAGGAAACCTGGCCATTTGTGACAACATGGATGGATCCTGAGGGCATTATGCTGAGTAAAATAAACCAGACAGAGAAAGACAAATACTGTATATGCAATCTAAAAAAAAAAAAAACAAACCTCAAACCAAAAAAACCCCAAACTCACAGATACAGAGAACAGATTGGTGGTTGTCAGAGGTGGGGTGGGGTGGGTGAAATGGGTGAAGGGGGGTCAAAAGGTACAGACGCCCAGTTACAAAATAAATGAGTCCTGCGGATGTAACACACAGCACGGTGACTACAGTGAACAACACTGTGCTGTATATTTGAAAGTTCCTAAGACAGTAGATCTTAAAGGTTCTCATCACAAGGAAAAACTCTGCGTGATGAAGGGTATTAACTAGGCTTACCGTGGTGATCATTTCTCAACACGTACAAATACCGAATCACTACGCTGTACACCTGAAACTAATATGACATGACAGTCAATTATAACTCAATTTTTTAAAGAAGGCAGGAAATTCTGACACCTGGTGACACAACGTGATAAACATTGAGGACATTATGTTCAGTGAAATAAGCCAGACACAAAAGGACAAATACTGTGTGATTCCATTTATGTGGGTCAAATTCATAGAGACAGAAAATGGAAGGGTGGGGGCTGGAGTAGAGGGAGCCAGTGTTTAATGGGGACAGAGTTTCCGTTCTGCAAGATGGAAAGAGCTGTGAGATGGGTGGTGGCGATGGCTGCACGACAATGTGAATGTACTTAACACCACCGAGCTGCACACTGAAAAATAACTTTTTTGTATATTTTACCACAATGAAAAAACAATTTAACCCAAAGCCCAAGTGGGCTGCTGCCCCAGGGAGCAGGGACTGCCTGCCCAGCCCACTCCTCAGCAGCCCCCGGCCAACCACGCTCTCAGGGGACCCACTCCCAAACTAAGCCAAGTCCCCGAAATTCCTCTCTGCCCAGGTTTACAGCGATGTCTGAAAAGTCACCTCTGCCTTGAAGCCTTCCAGGGTTGAGGGAGGATCTCCCGCTCTGAGTTCACCCCCTTGGTCTTGCAGGCAGCTGCTCCAGTCCTGGCAGAGCTGCGAGGACGGGCCCCCAGGGCCACTCATACCCAGACACCCCCGGTCCAGGAGCAGCAGGGTCTCCACACCACCGTCCCAAACCATCCCTCTCCTCAGAAAGCTCTCCTTAACGAGCCCAGACCTCACCGCCAATCAGAAGGCCCACGTGTGCTCAGAGGCGGTTTTGCCTGGCGCTCTAGGCAATCCCAAGGTCCAGGTGACATGCATTAAAGCCCCACAGGATGATCACCCACACCTCAGCCCAATGAAAGAGCTGAGAGGCCATGTCCTTCCTGGGCATCAGACCTGAGCTTCAAAGGTGACACTGTCATTTGTCCCAACTAGGCAGGTGACTCAGAGGAAGTAAGAGGCACAGCCCCCTACCCACACCCCCCAAGGTGGAGGATCCCCACCACCACCACCACCAGGCCTGCAACGAGAGCAGCCTCTCTGGAAGCTGTTAGACAAGGCCCTGTGTTCAAGGGCAGGGGACCCACTCTTGGAGCAGACAATGGGAGGACCTGGGAGCAAGTCCCATGGGGGCTGCAGCCAACCCCAGACTGCGTTCCTCCCAGCAGCCCTTGCATGGCCAGCTGTGAGGTCTTCCCAGATCTGCTCTGGTGGTTAGGGGGGCCGGGGACCACCCCGTGTCCTGTGGTGCAGAGTGCAGGCCGTGGGGACCCTCACCCTTGAGGCACCCAGCTCCTGGTGGGCTGCAGTTGAGAAGAGCAGCCATGAACCAGTCCATGTGACGGTGTTCTGTCCCCCCTCCAGCCCCCATCAATGCCAGAGTGGGCCTGAGTTGCCTATCTGGGCCACAGCAGGGATGGGAGGTCCCAGTGACACCCCACAGTGGCACAGAATATGGATGGACCAGCGGGGCTCCAGCAGAGACCATGGGCGGGCATCACATGGGGGTCACGGGAGGTCAGGGCAGGAGAGCCAGTCTGCCTTTGAGGCCCATGTCCCCTAAGACAGCTCAAGTTCTCAGTCTCCCCAGCTGTAAAATGGGGGCAACAGCCCGTATCTTGTCTGCTCCTCAGGCTGCCAGACAAGATGAGGCAAGATGCTGAGGTCATGGACCGAGTCTGAAAAGCAGAGGCGGGCCTGACGCCAGGGAGAGCCGGCGGCTCCCGACCCCCTGTACCTACTGGAGGGCCACGCCACTGGACTGAGTGGGTGGGTGGGCACGGCAGCTGCAGGGCCCACCACACCAAGGATGCCCACTGTCCCTCCTGCCAGGGAGGCTCTGGGTGCAGAGAAGCCCCCGCTGGGCAGGGTGGCCAGGAAGCGGAGGGCCGGGACCAGCTCCCCGCTGCCCGGGCCCCCCAGGCCAAGCCTGAGAGCAGACCGTGCTGACCGCCCTTCCTCACCAGACTGCTCCTTGGCATGCCGCTCTCCCGACAAGTGGAAACACAGGTCTGGGAGAGGGAGGTGGGACGGCGGAGCGGGCGGGAGCAGGCTCAGAGGGGACGGGTGCTGCTGCCTCACTGCACAGCCGAGGCGAGGCGGGCCCTCAGGGCAGCGGGGAAAGGCCCTCAGCCTGCCGCCCCTCTGGGACACTCCAGCTCTGGCGTGGCCTCTCGAAGCCACACTGCAGCTGCCCAGCAGATGCCCAGCACTCGGCGGGGGCGGGGGCTGCGCCGGGGACCCCTCCCAGCACAGCGGGCGAGCAGCAGAGGAGGGGGGGGTGTCCTACTTGCGGGGTGTGCAGAGACCGTGCCTCTCAAACAGGAGTCTCAGAACAGACGCAGAATCTTCCCACCTTCCCCTCCTGGGGGCTCGGCCACTCCCCGCTGTGGTAGGCTTGTTCTGAGGGGCTCAGGCTAGGAGCCCCCAGTGGAGCGCCCCGTGTGTCCCCGCAGAGCCTGGGGGCAGCGCCTGAGCTGAGCCGCCCTCCCTGCTGGGGGCCTGAGCAGGTGAGCCTCTCGGGGCTCTTCCACCCGCCACCGCAGCGAAGCCGCGCCAGGGGCTGCCAGCCCAGAAGCAGGGCGCCGCTGGTCCGAGAGCAAAGCCTTCTCTCCTGCTGCCAGTCCCAGCACACGTAGCCCCAGGGCTCTGCCGCCTTGGAAATCAACCCAGAGCGGGCACCACCCAGGAGCAAAGTCTAGGAGATGCCTGCTGGGAGGATGGGGTGCAGGTAGCCTAGTGCTTGTTCCGAGCTGCACCTGCCCTTCTGCCCCACCTGAACTGGCCACCTGCCCCAGAGCAGTGAGGCCGGGTGGGGGGAGGGGCGCCCGTTCCCACGGGGTCCACGTGGAGGCGGCAGGTGCTTCCTCCCCCTGCCGCCGGGTACAGGGCTAGAGGGGGGCTCCAGGCGGGGGCCCATGACGTCACCCGCAGGTGGGGGGCAGGGCCAGGTGGAACCCCACACCCACGCACAGAGGCCCACGGCCCGCTTGTCCGTCCCCTCCCTGCAGCCGGTCGCCCGCCGCGATTTCCTCTTTCTTTGCGGAGCCCCAGGTTTCGCAAGGCGGCGGCGGTCCGCGGGTGACAGCGAGACACGCAGCCTGGGGGAGGGGAGGCGGCGACACAGCCGCAGGCCAGGGGCCGTGGGCGGGCAGGCGATGTCCGGGTCCCGGCAGGTGCCCTCGGGCCCGCGCCCCACCCGAGCGGGGACCAGGCTGCGCTGCCCGCGCCCCCACCCCCCCCGCGCTGCCAAGCAGGCGCCGCAGCACCCCTCCCCGGCCCCGGGGCTGGCATCCAGGCCGG